GATGAAAATTAAAATAACAATGCAATATGAAAATGGAAAAATGGTAGCAACCATTTCATGCGACCCTGGCTTTTCACACTCGACGACATCAACAATTTTGAAGGACAAGGCAGAGGCATTTGCTACTATTAATAAGGGGATGCAAATGTTTGAAGAAATGGATCAAAATGTTGAGCATTTTGCAAAAGTTGACAGACTGATCCAAGATGCACTTGCTTGCTACAGGGAGATTTACAATAAAAAAAGAAAAGGCAAACTGTGCAGTCTAAATTGGACATATATTTTAAGAAGTCCCCTACTGCTGTCTCCTCACGCCCCACCACTGCTGCCTCTTCACTCCCTAAAGATGATCCAATACCTTCAACAAGCAATTATGTTAGCCTGTCTGAAGAAAGCGATATTGATGACCCACCCAGCCCTGTCTCCTCTTCTGCTTCATCCAATTAATATAGTCTCCATGTTTAATTAAAAAATTATTGAGGCCCATGAGCATTCAGCTGACTACATTAAAGGTAAATGGACAGTAACACTTTATTCATTTTTAATTATTGATTATTTTTACTGTACTGTATTTCATTTTAGAATTTCTATGTATTATTTTCGCATTTTCGACTTACGACCTGCTCATTGGGATGAAACCCCGTCGTAAGGCGAGGAGAGACTGTGTGTGTGTGTGTGTATATATATATATATATATATATATATATATATTAGGGTGTGTCAATTTTGTCAACATGTTAAAAATCAAATTTGGTAGTCAAAATATTGTGCCTCTTTATGTCTAAACTTGAGATTAGCAAACAAAAATGAATTGAAATAACCCTCACCTACATCAATTATACCTTAAAGTTTCAAATATCAGTATTTCAACAAATTAATGAGACTTGATTAGAATTATTCACTTGATGTTAACTAATCTCATGTAAGCATATGGATTATGGAGTATTTTATGGTTCTATAGCTTGTGTACAATATGCATGTCAGAACATGAACATGAACAGGCTCTCCGTGTGGGACAGTTTAATTCTTGTTTTGACTTGTACCAAGCGTGAGGATAAGGCGCCCGGCTCACTCTCCTTCTAGATATCATAGACGGTGGTTTGCTCTCATTGCACTTGCACCTACTCTACCAGACGAATTCTACATTTTAATTATTGTAAGTAGGGCATATTGATTGTCGCAGTTACTTATATCATTGTATAAAACATTATGTTCTAAGAAATTATTATGTTATTTCTGTTACAGCATTTTTGATAAACAAATTGATATTTTTTGAAACAACAATTGAATTATGAAACATTGAAATATTTTTCTATTTGTCAGATAGTGTGAAGATGTCAAAATTGAAGACAAGAAGTCAGTTGTCAACCCACTTGAGCCTGCTAGTTGGTAAAGGGAAGGAGCTTCCTGTATCAGAACTTCCAACAGTGAGAGACATGCTAAGATTAGGGTTACTCCTTCGAGAAAAAAATGCAAAGGACAGAAGGAACTATACAGATAAAGAACTCATAAATGACATGATAGTCCCTCTTCTGCATCAATGGACAAAAGCTAATGCACTATTCAAACCACCTGTGATTAATCAGTGTCGAACTATTGAGCTAAAACTAACGAAATTATGGCACAAAGCAGTTGAAACATCACTTGGTAAAGGAAACTTGGCCAGGAAAAATGAATTTCTGCACACACTTGATACTCTGTTTGACATTTTGACCTGCAAGTGCTCCATACAATTATGTTCTGAATCCAACTGTTCTCACTCAGGTAAGAGAGAAAATAATTCCCACATTGATTGTGGTTGTCCTCGTGAAAAGAAGATCCCTGTTTTAGAGCTTGAATTTATAAAGGCACAGAGGACAAAGGCAGAAGGCCAAGGAAGTATGCAAATGGGTTCAATAGATTATTCAGAAACAAAGAAGCAGATTGCTAATGCCAAGAAGAGAGAACAAATCCGAGAGAGGGAACAAAAGAAGAAAATGAAGAGTGAAGAAGCCATCCAAAGAGAGGAAGAGCTGTGTCAAGATGTTTATCACTTCTTTGATAGTTCTTCTGATGAACAGGAAGCAACATCAGATGATAGTTCCAAAGAGCCATCTGAACCTTTACCAAAGAAAATGAAATACAACACAAGAAATATTTCAAACATTGCTTTAGCTAGTATTCGCCACCATGCTGGACTTCGTGAGGCTGCAGAAATTGCAACTGCCGCTTGGATAGATGCAGGCCTCATCAGCCGAGAGGATGTATCTTTGGTGATAGATCATAATAAAATTAGAAGAGCACAAGAAAAAATAATAAAGGAAATATCTGATCAGCATGAAAAAGATTTAAGCAAGGGAGGGCTCTCCTGTCTTTTGTTTGATGGAGGAATAGATGACACAAAAGTTTTGCTAGAAGTAGAGGGAGTGAACAGAAAGTTTCCAGGTCTCATCAAAGAAGAACACTACTCTGTCTGTTCTGAGCCTGGTGGTCGGTTTTTGTTTCACTTTGCTCCCGAAACTGAAGTAGAAGGGAAGAAACATGCAGAGGTCATTGCTGATCATATTTTATGTTGGGTTCAGGAGAGAGGACTTGGCAGTTCACTGCAGGCTGTTGGTGGAGATTCAACTGCAGTGAACACCGGATGGCAGGGGGGTGTAATGACGCATTTAGAGAAAAAACTAGGAAGAAGACTTGTTTGGATTGTATGTGATTTACATACAGGCGAGCTACCTCTTCGTCATCTCATCCAGGAACTTGATGGTCCTACAAAGAGCAACAACAAGTGGTCAGGTCCCCTTGGCATCATGCTGGATGAAGCAACACAACTAGAAATAAATACAACCTTTCCAAAGGTCGAAGTTGGCCCTCCCCTTCCGGCGTTGTCTGAAGGAGTCATCAAAGATCTCAGCACAGATCAATCCTATGCTTATCGTATTGCCCAAGCAATAAGATCAGGAGAAGTGCCTCAGTCATTGGCTCTCTTGGAGATTGGACCTGTCAGTCACAGCCGTTGGTTAACTACAGCTCTTCGTTTCTGCAGGATTTGGATTTCCAAACACGAATTGAAGGGCAAAGTGCTGAAGAATTTGAGGTTAATTGTTGAATTTATTATTGGAGTTTATCTTCCCCAGTGGTTTAGTGTGAAACTTAATCCTATGTGGGTGGATGGGCCCAATCACCTTTTGTTTCAATTGCAGCTAGTAAGAACACAGAGGAAGGTAGTGAGGGACATCGTGTTACCTGTGGCAAGAAGGTCCGCTTGGTATGCTCGATCAGAAGCAGTTTTGCAAGCAATGCTTTGCAGTCAATGTACCAATCTCCGAACCGAGGCTGTAGAAGTCATTCTAAAGATTAGAGGAACGCTAATAGATGACGACCAGTTGGGAGACTGTTCGTTTCATTCAAGAAAAGTTCCCCCAATAAACATCAATGCCACCAAATTGTCAGAATTGGTTGACTTGAGTTTGGAAGTCTTAGAGCCACCATTGACAACAAGTCTAACTAGCCAAGAATTGAGAAACCTTAAAGAGACTCCAATGCAGGTGCCGAAGTGGCCTTCCCACACTCAAAGTGTGGAGAGATGTGTGAAAATGGTCACAGAAGCAGCGGGCCATGTTTACAGCCACGAGAGGCGAGAAGGTTACATCAAAGCACAAATAGCAAGCAGACTACTGATGACAAGAAACCAAAGCAAAGAGAGTATGAAGGCATTGGTTACTTTCAAATAGACTACGGATAATAAAATATAATAATTTGAAACTTGAAACAGTAACATGTGTGCAAACGCTGGTTATGTTATAAATTCACAAATATGTACATTTAAAAATCCATTTGATGTAGGTAGGACTTATTATAAAAAAAAATTTATGCCAGAATATTGTTTTGCATGCTTAAAGACTACAATAAATTGCTACCAAATTACTCGATTTTCAATTTAGCCAGTTCACCCCCTAAATTGACACACCCTAATATATATATAGATATATATATATATATATATATATATATATATATATATATATATATATATATATATATATATATATATATATATATATATATATATATATATATATATATGCAAGTAAATCACTGTACAGTAGGTGCAAGTGATCAAAGTATATGCTGATAACCATAAGGAAACAAGAAAACACGAAGTTCCCAAGCGCTTTCGTGTAATTCGTATCTTCAGGGGTGAGTCTGTACTCACCTGTATTTTTAAACTGATGATGGAAAAGGATTATTTCCAAAACGTTAGCAATTAAAAGAAGCACTACTTCAAGATGTTTGTGTGTACCCTGGTTCTCTTCTTCGTTATATATATATATATATATATATATATATATATATATATATATATATATATATATATATATATATATATATATATATATATATATATATATATATATAATATAAAACATACTAGTCTGTGTGTGCCTGGGTCAGTTTTGCATATATATATATATATATATATATATATATATATATATATATATATATATATATATATATATATATATATATATATATATATATATATATATATATATATATATATATATATATATATTCAAGACTTCTTCAGGGTTGCCTCTGAAGATGTCTTGAATAAAGACAAAAGCTAAGATACTCCTTTGTTTCCCTGTTCCTGTGTGATTTTATCGAGATTTATCTTGTCCACGTTTCTATTGGGTACGAGTTATCTCGTAATTGGGTACGAGTTGACATGTTCTGATGGGTACGATTTGCTTGGGTACGGGTTGTCCAGCACCCGACTAAAAGTAATATTTACCTTAGGTTAGGTTAGGATGCAGACAAGGTTAGGCAGTGTGACCTGGGGCAAACTAGGTTAAGGTAGGTTAGGTTAGGTTTGGTTAGGATGCATATTTTAGTGATACAAAAAATCCTATGTGTTTTGCTGTTTTAAAGGTCAAATTCATTCAAAAAACAGCAAAATACAGAGGAAAAATTTATTTAAGTCGCTAGAAGATTATAGGACTAAAAGTAACATTTACCCAAAATGTTTTTCCTGGCGAAATTGCTCGCAGTAAACGTTTACCATGTTCTCAAGTTGGTTCTATGGTCGGACCATTCACGCCAAGTATTACTCTAATTTTAACAACTCGTGTAAAACTAAGTGTTTCTTGGTAGCTGCTGGATCACTAAATACCGACGACCTGTTACCGTGAAGGGCTCGCCAGTAGGCCTATTATATTTGGAGGCAAAGACACCAGTAGACTCCCCTCCTCCACAGCAGCAGGCAGCTCAGTAACACTATAGATATCTTTCAGTTGACACTCACAATATCCTGCTCACCATGTTCCACATCGGGAAGAACAAGAGACAAATTTCCGAGGCTACAAGGTCGTATACACACGATGTAAACAAAACTTGCACCGACTGAGTTCAAATGACATATACGTATGGTCATAATAATACTTAAATTAAATTAAATAAATATCTTTTAACATATAAACTATCTAGTTTAAGTTACTGAAATACAAATTAATAACTTAGATATAAGAATCTGTTTACTTTCCGTGTATACATTGTTGTCAGGTGCTCGCTACACACAGGACGCCTTGCCATATGAAATTTTTTTACTTCTTATACGTATTTAGCAGGGCAGGTTAAATGTTGCTGATTTATTCCAATATACCAAACACATTGAATAAATTTGCCTGAAATAACTGACAATGTGTATAAAGCATATGGGAAACCTACTCACGCATTGCTGTACAATTGAGATATTCTGTATTGATTTGTACACTTGGCAACGCGACTTTGCCACCCTTTGGCGAGCCTGAGAACACCTCACCACCACCAATGAAATAAATCAATATAATTAGCAAATCTAGATTTTTCATGCATGACATTACCAATATAAGATTATCAATGTTAATTTTAAAATGATTTCATGACAAACATGTGTTTATGGTTCCTGATTTACATTTTATGATATGACAAATTATCGCACTACTTCATGGCGCTGACTAACATCTCCCGCGAATTTCAAATGTCAAATAATTTTGATTAAGGGTTTTATATATATATATATATATATATATATATATATATATATATATATATATATATATATATACACACATATATATATATATATATATATATATATATATATATATATATATATATATATATATATATATATATATATATATATATATATATATATATATGCTGATAACACAACAAACATATATATATATATATATATATATATATATATATATATATATATATATATATATATTTGCCATAATAATTAATAATAATGAATCACCTGAAGATTAGCCCTCAAAGTGCGCGTCACTATCCCAGCGTCTCACCTGAAGTTTAACCACCCCGAAGCTACCGGGGGGGGGGGGGGTTAATTTTCAGATAGTCCATAAAAAATAAATCCAAAAGCATGGGTAAGAGGATAGTGTTAGATTACCTCAGTGAGTTGTGACGCTGACTTATCAGCTGTTCCCATCTTGATGATTGGCGTCAGGAAGGTTATGGCCAGGGGCCCGGAACCAAGGAATGAAAATGAGTTCCAGAGGCTGATTGCAAACGAAGTCAAATCAAACCCCAAGGTTTTCAACCGTTACGTAAAATCAAAACTAAGGACAGGTGTGGGTGTATCAGATCTGAGACTTTAAGATGGTAGTTACGCAGACTCAGATCACGATAAGGCGGAGTCGTTAAAAACTGTAATTATTCTCCTTAATGTTCAAAAAAGAGAATACAAACAATTTTCCTGAGTTTGAAGAAAAACCGTTTGACACAACTCTAATACCCACCGAGTTATCAGAAGAGTGTATTAAAATACTATTGTCAAAGCTAAAGGTTCACAAGAGTCCCGGCCCTAATAGCGTGCACGCGTGTGAAGAGATGTGCAACGAGCTTGCTGAGCCCCTTAAAATCCTGTTCTGCAGATGCATGGATGAACAACAGGTTCCCAGCGACTGGAAAGTGGCCCTGTGGGTCTTATATTCAAACAGGGAGATCGCCGGTGAACTTGACCAGCAAAGTGTGTAATGTACTAGAGAGTATTATTAGAGATATGATGGAACATCGACTACGAAACAACATTGTAAAGGAATGTTAGCATATAATTAGTTTTATGCCGTGACACTCCTGCTTGACACAATTAATTAACCCTTTAGACTCGAGGGTAGGAGTTTCTCTCAGCTGAATAAAATCGTGTGGCATTAGCCGCTGCCCTCTAAAGGATTAAGGTGTTGCATGTGTGGATACAGATAAGGAATGTGGTGGCAATATTGAGAATATATACCTAGACTTTGGCAAGCGTACATCTCATAAGAGGTTGAAAACCAATCTGGAAGGGTATAGAATTCAAGAGAACGCCCGGGCGTGGAGCAGAGACTTTCTTCATGACTGCAAGCAGTGTGTGGTGATTAATGGTACGAAATTACCATGTGTACCAACAACAAGCGGGGTACCACAGGGCTGTGTAATGGGAACGTTGTTGTTTGTTTCATAAATGACATGCCGGAAGCTATGCACTCCTCCATACAAATGTTTGGGGACATTGCAAAGAACTACAGGAATATCTTTGTCAGTTTCAGGAGAGGTCAAAGGAATGGCTGGTACGAGTTAATGTCATGAAATGCAGGAGGATGCACTTAGGTCGTACCAACAGTAAGGTGTATCGCATGGCCCAACGGGACGAAGACACAGCATTTTACTTTTATCCTCTTCACCACTGATCGGCTCGTTAGCCGCTTGGGCGATCGGTCACGTCTCTTGTTACGCACTCTTGGCAAGTACTAGTCATGTATTGGCTCTCTGTTACAGACTGTCGGCAGGTACTGGACATGCACCGGCTCCTGAATGAACCTGAATCTGCTCCAGTGTTTGTCAAGTCTGGTCTTGAAGGAACTCACACTCGGTGCCTATCTTTTACTTTTACTTTTATCCTCTTCGCCACTGATCGGCTTGTTAGCCGCTTGGGCGATCGGTCACGTCTCTTTTCATTTATATTCTTCACCAAAAGATCGGCTCGCTAGCCGCCCGGGCGATCGGTCACGTCTCTGTCACGCACTGTTGGCAAATACTGGGCATGCACCGGCTCCTGAATGTACCTGAACCCGCTCCAGTGTTGGTCAAGTCTTCTCTTGAAAGAGCTCACACTCGGTGCCGTCACAACACTCTCTGGTAGATTGTTCCAAGAGTTTACAACCCTCACTCCGAAAAAGTTTGCCCTCACGGTTTTCTGGACTTGCGGCTTCTTCAATCTTGAGCTGTGACCCCTTGTGGGGCGAGCGTCCGCCAGCTCCAAGTAAGGACACTCAACTGAGTAGTGCCCCCTGAGATGCTTATAAACCTCAACTAGGTCCCCCCTTGCCCGTCTGTAGTATAAGCTAGGCAAGTTCAGGCGCTCCAATCTCTCAGGGTAGCTGAGGTGCCGAAGTGCAGGCACCAGTTTGGTGGCCCTCCTTTGAACATTTTCAACCAACTGACAGTCCCTAGCATATCTCGGGGACCAGATGGGGTGACAGTACTCCAGATGGGGAAGCACTTCACTCCTGAAGATCGTCACGAGGGACGGACCGTCTAGATATCTGAACGACCTTCTTATAAGACCCAATAATTTATTTGCCTGATTTACCTTCTTCTCACAATGGCCCGAGAACTTCAGCTCATTGTCAACATACACACCTAGGTCCTTCTCACACACAGTCTCAACTAGTACATTTTCTTCATCCCGTTGGGACATATGGTACGCCTCCTTACCGTTGGTACGCCCCAGGTGCATCCTCTTACACTTCGTGACATTGAATCTCAGCAGCCATTCCTTCGACCATTCCTGGAGCCCACAGAGGTCCTTCTGCAGCTCTTCACAGTCCGCTTGGTTCTTAATTTCCCGAAATAACTTGCCATCATCGGCAAACATTTGTATGGAGGAGTGTACAACGTCAGGCATATCATTTATGAAACAAACAAACAACAGCGGGCCCAATACACTACCCTGCAGTACCCCACTTGTTACAGGTACAGATGACGATTTCGTGCCATTAATCACCACACATTGCTTGCGGTCATGTAGAAAGTCTTCTATCCACGCTAGGACATTTCTCCGAATTCCGTACCCTTCCAGTTTGATTTTCAGCCTTTCGTGGGGTACACTGTCAGCCGGGAGGAAGCGAGCGCTTTGTAAACAATGACATTTCTCACCACACCCTGTAAAATACAGTGTACTTAGCAAATGCTGCAGCTTCTGAGAATAGGGGGGGGGGGGGTTACTACTAAGAGCAGAGACGTTACCGAGAACAAATTCGGGCTTGAATGTCATGTACACTAAAACTGACACGTTCCTTGATAAGAGAGAGGAGTTTGAAACATTACTGAAGGTACACCAACCAGATATTGTGGGAGTCGTCGAACTGTTGTAGAAGAACAGGAGGATCGATCCAGAGGAATGTGAGTTCAGTATTGCTGGATATGACTCATTTACGAACCTTTCTCAAGAAACTTGGAAGAGGGGTGTGGTTATCTATGCCAGGCAAGACCTTGGAGCCAGCCAGGCGAGGGTACAGGGAGAGGATGTTTTTGAAGAGTCCAAGTGGTGTAAAATTAAACTAAAGGGAGGGGACTTACTTATTGTCGGATGTATCTACAGATCCTCAAACTGTGGCCCACTAAATCAAAGGAACTTAAGAGCCTTAATAGACAATGCTGCGATGCTCAACCCTAGCCACCTCCTTATCATGGGGGACTTTAACTATGGCGACATCGACTGGAGAAACGAGTTCACCCCAAACGACTTGAATAACCCTGCTACTCTTTTTGTAGAAACTCTGAAAGATAATTTTCTGTTCCAACATGTTAGAGACCCGACACATTACAGAGGGGAGCAAGCACCCAAGCCACTAGACCTCATCATAACAAACGAGGAGGGTATGGTGGCCAAAATGGAACACCTTGCCCCAGTTGGCACCAGTCAATATATAGTGTTGTCATTCAGATTTAACTGTTATCTAGTTCAAGATAAGGCCAGGCCAAGGTGCAAATAATACAGGGGAAATTACAACGGGCTGAGGGAAGAGATGAGGGGTACTCACTGGCCTGACTTATTAAGGCACAAGAACGCAGACACTACACTGAATATCATAACTAGTAAAGTGACCCATTTGATTGATAAATATATACCCAAGACCAAACCCAGTGCCTCTAGGAATACGAGGGGATCCCTACACATGAGCCATGCGGCAGTCGACAAAGTTAAGAAAACCCAAAAATTCAAGACGTGGGTTGGGTCAAATGATGAGCAAGACAGGAAGATGTATGCAAGAGCCAGAAACCAAGCAAAGATAGAATGTAGAAGGGCTGAAAAGGAGTTCCAGAGGCTGGTTGCAAGCGAGGTCA